GCCAGCTCTTGAAGTTCTTGTTTTCAACCTAACTGAAGTCAATATAGTTAATTTACAGATTGACTGGAAGTATCTTGACCAGAGAGATGATTGCTCTCTTTAATTTGAGTATAATAATAAACTCATTGCCTTCACTGCTTTGTTTCCTGTTTTGTTTTTGTGGAACCATTAGGATAAAAGTAGTCTTTGCTTTGCCAGGCCCAGCTGCATACACCTATAATCCCAGCACTGAGGGATGCTGACACAGAGGGATGGCAAGTTCAAGTCCTGCCTGGGAAATTTAGCAAGACTTTATATCAAAATAAAAAATAAAATAGGTCAGGGTTGTAGTTCAGTGAAAAGCTTTGGGTTTCCATCCCTAGCATTACCCCCCACCCCACCAATTTACTCCTACTATTCGAGATTATCCTGAGCAACAATACATTATATAGTGGACCCTCAAGTTACAACCAGCCTGACATATGAACAACTTGAACTATGACTGGAATTTTAGTTTTAATTTATGAACAAATCCTTGAGTTACCACCTGAATGCTGGCTGCTTGTGTTTCCAGATGGTCTCAGATACAGATTTAGCCCTCAAAGAGCTCTGGAAGGAACATTACAACATCCTTTCTGGTGTGGGGTTGACAGTGTCTAAGGTCACTGAGATCTGCCTGTATACCAGAGAGAGACTTTGAAGACTGTGTAGAGGAGCCTGAGCTTTCAATTGACCAACTTGAGTTACAGCCAGCCCTCATGAACAAATTGAGTTTGTAAGCCAAGGGTCCACTGTATGAGAAACACTGAAGAGGGTGTTTAAGCCATTGGTTAATTTGGGACTATGGATGACAAAGATAATGTTAGATGAAAAGATAGATTTGGATTTTCTGAAATGTTAACCTGACCAGGGTTGAGGAGATATGGATAGAAGTATCTAGGTGTAGTCTCTGGTATGTGGATTTTCATATATCACAGGTGACAGATTGCTTCATCCACAGGAAAGGAGAGAAACAGATTAGTGAAGCTCTTCAGTGACCAGCTTGATCCAGCGTTGCTGGAGGCAAAACGAGCTCTCTAAACAGTGTTTACTTGTTAGTGTTGCAGTCTCGCCCATCACTAGGAGTTGGACAAGTGCTTTTCAGAACTCTCTTCTTCTTCCTAAAATACTCACAACCCACTTCCTCATGGGAAGAAGGGAGGCCTGTGGTGTCTGCCTGTCCTGAGATTAGACAGAGCAGAGAGGCTGGTGCAGCCACAGTGGGGAGAAGAGACTTTGTCCTCACAATGAGGGCCACAGTGGAGAGGCCATCTGTGGAGAGGCTGGGCAAATCATCTAATCCCCAGGCCATGGGGCTCTTTTAGAATGGAAACTAACAGTGCAGATTCACCCTTCATTAGAATCTGAATTCCCAATATTGTGTCATCTTGTGTTAAATCTCTGCTATTGGCATTACTGGCTGTTAAAAGTGGGTAATATCCATAATGACTCTCTTCTGTATGTGTGATGAAACAACTTTTTGGAAAAAGCATGGCTGTGATGAAACTGCAGAATGCTGTCCACACAGAGAATAAGTAAGAAAGACAAGGGTTTAAGTCCCAGCTCTGCCATACACTGACAGGTGGCCTTGGAGAAGCTCCTTAGCCACTGTTCTTTGGTTCCCTCATCTGTGAAAGCTGGTGTGCATCTAGAGTTAGGGGTGACAAAATGGATGTGAGAATTAACTGAAGTGATCCATGTGACAAAACATTCAGTGTAGTTAGATAGGAAGCAGTCAGTGAAAGCCTGCTATTATCATATTTGAGGTAGAATACTACAAGTTTTGGCTTCATCCCTGGCTGCTTGACTGAGCAAACAACTGAAACTCCCTCTCTGAGCCTCAGCATCTTCATATATAACATGGAGGTGTTAGTTACACCTCTGTGAAAAAGGTGTTGTGCGAGGCACACATGGCAGGGCTTGGGAAAGCCCGTGGGTGCAACTCAAGCACTTCAAGCCATAGGTGCCATAGTTTCCATTTTCTCTCACACATTGTAAAGGCGTAGGCTCACGGGCTCCTCAGTTTCCCTTCTGCTGCTTTCTCTGATGTAGATGCTGTCACGTGTCTCGAGGACCTTCCAGTGATTGCATCAGTGCGCCACACAGGACAGCAGTCTCTGAAAGCTCCTCAGGACCATGTGATGTGGAGGCAGGAGTGACACCAGAGGATTTTGCAGTGATTTGGGACTGTCACCCAGCAGTGTGACTGTGCTGGGCCTGAGTGTGGACTGAGAACCTTGGATTGCATGAACTTGAAGGAAGGCTACCTGCTGAGCTGTTAGTTTGGAGGGCTGTATTCTTATTGCTGGATAATGGACGACACTGGACCAAGCAGTTCTCTGAATGAAATTAGCGAGGGTTTGGTGAGAATTTATTTGGTCCATATTTATTTGACAGTGCACCCTAAAACTAAGGACAGAATGTCAAAGTTGACGAAGATGAAGAGACACTACCCTCTCTGTTAGGAACTTCAGTGCACGCTTACATGTAGCAGTTGGTGATACAGTTTTTAAGAAGTGAAATTTCACAATGCTGTCTCTGCAAGTGTGGTGTTCACCCCACTTTAGTCTGTAGTCTGTGCGTTTGTGAGTATGGCAGCCTCACTCACCTGAGCCTGCAGTTCTGCAGGTGTGCAGTTGATCAGATTGCCTGGCCTGGCCCTTCCTGGAGGTTACTGATCTTTCAGGCTGCTTTACAAGGAGAGGGGCCCTTAGTGAGCATTTTCACTTCCTTTCTGCTCTTGGATTTGGGTTGTCTTTAGAGGAGATATTTTAATAATGTGGTAGAACATTTAAAAATGTTGTCTTGAACATTTAGCTGTTAGCTCTCAGTGTTCTTTCTCTGTTCCTTAGCTCTTCTTTTGCTGGTATTCCACTTTTCCAATTTAAAAATGCCTCTTTGCATGCACTGATTTTGGGAGGGGGTTCCCTTGTGCCTTAATTAGGAAAAATGTGTCATGTGAGCCTAGCCTTCTGTTTCCAAGCACAGTAAGATGCTTTGTGCCTTACCTTAATTGTACCTTGCTGGAGTGCTAAGCTATTAGGTTTGCCCTGAGTCCACGTGAGCCCCCTTTCTGACACACACAGAGCAATTTTCATTTGTCTTTGTTAAGATCTTTCATTAAATGTAAATTTATTTGTTTATGATTTTGGGCTATGGCAGGTTTTCTTTTGCATTGCTTCTCTAATTTGACCTGAAATAGAATTGCTTTCTACAATAAATGGTTGCAGTATGTTTATTTTCTCCTTCCTCTTCCCTAGCAGTTGGTAGTTGAAGTGGGAAATAGATCCAGGGATAGAACAAGAATTGTTTTCTTGGAAATGCTGAATGTCAAGTTGGCTACATAGCTAACTAGCTTGGGTGTAAAAGACGTTAAAGGAATATAAAACTTAATCCTATCATTTTAATAAATTCAGGCATTTTTTTTCAAATTGTCATGTGCACATGCGTACATGGTTGTGTGTTTATATGTGCCAAGATATTCAGGTGGTGGTCAGCAGTGGAACAATTTGTTAGCAGAGTGTCTAAGGGCACAGACTCTATGTCTGGGGTTCCTGGGCTCAAATCTGGTACTTCAGTTCCGAGCTGTGCACCTTGGAGGCAAATTATTCAGCCTCTTTTCTTCATCTGCTCAGCCTGGTAATAACAAAATGCCATACACTTCATGGCCTAAGCAGTTCTGGAGGCTGAAAACTCCAACGCCAAGGCACTAGCAAGTTTGGTGTCTCAGGAAGGCCCGCTTCCTGGCTGCTTGCTGATGGCTGCCATTTCACTGTGACCACACAGGGACAGACTTCTGTCTGTTTATTTTCATTTAAGAGCGCTAATCCCATGTACGAGGGCCCCACCTTCATGACATAATTACCTCCCAAAAGCCCCACCTCCAAACTGTGTTGGGTATTAGGGCTTTAACATGAATTTTAGGAGACATAAACAGTCAGTCCATAGCATTTTCCATTTGTTTGGCTGTAAAATAAAGATTAAAATGGTCTGGATCCACCTTAAAGGGTTGCTGGGAGGGTTAAATGAGATACTAAAGTAAGGGACACAGGATAATGCCCATTGCCGAGGAAGCACAATGTATTATAGAAATCTGTACATGTTCATTTAAAGTACAAATATTCTGCTGGTTTGTAGATTTTCATCTTTCATGAGTACTTTGGTACATTAGACTTTTCACATTTGAAAAGGAGTGTTTTTTTTTTTTTTTTTCCTAAATGAGTTGTCTTGGACTTTTAACAAGCAATTCTTGCTTATGTTAGTTCAACAAGATTCAAACTTTTCTTGAATTTTCTGGAGCACAGTTAGCCCTGAAATTGCACTTGATCTTAGCCAAAAGGCCAAGAAGTGATTAAAGCCCTGAAATTATAAAAAGGAAATGAGTTGGCAAAAATGGACTTATAAATGTAATGTTGTCTGTTTACAGAAAAGATATAGAGTTTTTAAAAATGTATTTTGTCTTAGGAGTGAAATTCAGGGAAATTCAGTGTTCAGAAAAGTGCTTGTAAATGTCAGAATTTATGGAGAGTTATAATGAATCCCCTGCCTACCTCTGTGTATAGGCTGTACCTCAGGCATCAAACCGGACATTTCTTAAAACAAGAAGTGATAAATAGAATCTCACTTTGATGCAGTCATTTACCAGCATGTTTATTTTGAACATCTAAGAACAGCAGAGACTTACTACGGTATGATGATTACTTTTAGATGTTCACACATTTCCCAAGTTTTGAGTCGTTGCTTTCTTTTGGTTTCTGAAGAAAGATTAGTTACTTATGAAAACCTGGAGAGCTAAATGGGGCAGGTCAAATGTCAGTTTCTCCCTTCACATAGATGGACTCCCGCGTTAATATGAGAACTCATGAGTAAATCATTTACAGATGTAGTCACACGTCTCCGTGCACCTGTTGCACAAGCATCCAAGCAGGGTCTGACGGAACAAGGAGAGCTCCACGTTTGGCTGGGCAGGATTGTGAGCTAATTGGCTCATATGTGGCAGAGAGGGGTTCATCTCTATCACCACCTCCTCTTGCTCCTAGGCAAAGCTGACGTCTCTTAGCTGGCACATCCAGCCACCTCCTGGGAATATGGATGCCGGTCTCTGTCTTCTCTCCTGACCCATCCCTTCAAGGCCGTGTGGTATGTTTTGCCATTACTCTCATTTTGTACACGGCATAACTTAAGCATATTTTGAAGTTCTCTGTAACAGAGATGTGGATAAGTCACCTCTGGTTTGCTCTCTGCAGCCCTCACAATGGGTTTTGGCTTTTTTTTCTCTACTTGGATGAAAGGCCTCTTGAGCAGCTGCTGCATTCACTTGTTTGCGGTTGTATCCTAGAGCACTGATCCTAGCCTTCCTTTTGGCACCAAGGACTCACTTATGCAAAACAATTTTTCCACAGATTGGGGTGGGGGTAGTTTCAGAGTGATTCAGTGGAATGAGAGCCTAGATTCTTCACATGCACAGAGAATCTAATGCTATCCCCACCTGACAGGAGTGATCCAAGAAATGGGGGATGGCTGTAAATACAGATAAAGCTTCACTCATTCACCTCCCTCACCTCCTGGTTCCTAACCAGGACTGGTACCAGCCTGCAGCCCAGAGCTTGGGGACTCCTGTCCTAGAGCATAGGATAGTACCTTACACATGGTGGGTGCCCCCACAAGTTTATGAATGCGTTAATGAGTGGATGGATTTGTGTCTTTGAATACACCAAAGCTGGTCACACATAGGTAGCTACATAGCCTGGCTGAGGTACACTTGATCATGAGGGTAAGGACTTTATTCATCCAGTGGGGGTAGCATTGTCTAATTCTTCCTTCATGCCCTTCTTGCTCAGGACCTCTTCTTGACCCAACATGTGACATGTACCATTTGTTGCTGGCTGTTGGCTATCACATTTTCTAAAAGGTCTGTTTTAGTCCACATTCTGTTGTTGCTACAAAATACCTGAGGCTGGGTTCTTATAAAGAAAACAGGTTTACCTAGCTCAGTTTTGGAGGCTGCAAGCCCAAGATTGGGTGGCCCCTTCTGTTCAGCTGCTGGTGAGAGTCTCATGGTAGCAGGTAGCATGGTGGGAGCTCCTGTGGGAGAAGGAAGAGAGCGGAGGTGAGACAGGAAGCCAGGGAGAGAGTCATAGATCAGACTCACTCTCTTATAACAATTCACTCTCATGAAAACTGCTTGTCCTTTCTAGGCAGCGATTCCACTGCCTGCATCCAGCCCCCCTGCATTACCATACCAAGGACCAAGCTTCCAACACAGGAAACTATTGGGGGGGTCCATATCCAAGCCATATCAAGGTCTTTTCCCAGTGATCTTTTGATTTGAGATTATTATAGTATTACCCAGACCCAATTTCTACTATTCTCACTTCCTGCTTTTTAGCTTGGATGGGTTTCTTTGGGTGAGTTAAATTATTCACCTTTTTTTGTATCCCTTTCCTTATATATAAAATGACAACAGAGGAGCCATCCATGTCACAGGGTAGTGTGAGGACAAAAAGGGTTAAATGCAGGAGAAGCCCTTAGGGAAGTGCCTAGCAACAGTCAGCTTGGAACATGAGTCTGTCTCCTGAATGTCCTGTCTACACACAGAGTTACTCCTGCTGACTCTCCTGCCACCAGTCCGTTGCCCTTGCCAACTACCTGCGTTTCTGACTGCTCATCTTGTCATAGGGACCCTTGTCACACACAGCACAGGTACAACCCACTGCGTGTGTCTCCAGCTCCCCACCCAGTGCCCAAGTGATAATGAACATAGGTAATTGTTGACTGCGAGATGTTAGGGTTCCTTGCTGTTCCCCGCTACTGGGTATGGGGCTCAGGGCTGTGCATTTCAAGAGCTATAACTGCATAATGGCTCTATAGCCTTTTTGTCTGTAACCTAATGATTATTTGTAATTCTAATAGCTGGTGACAAATCAGCTCAGTGCATCAGTCAAAATAGACTAGGGTTTGTTACAGTCAGAAGTGACTCCAAAGTTCAGTGGATTAAAACAGCCAAGAGATATTTCTCATTTGTGCTGTATAGCTAGTGTTGGCTGATGTAAGAGTTCTGCCTTCAAATTGTCACTCTGGGATCCAGACTGGTAAAGCTCTATCTAGATACATGAATTCATGGTTTTAACACAAAGAACAAATGGAGCAGGGCCCTCTGAAGAAGCAATGCATGTATTCAGAAATGTGCAGAGAACTTGCACATCTGGGATATATTTGCTATGGTGGATTGCAGGCATATCTGGAGAGGCAAAGAAAGACAAAGTTTTTCAAGATAAAATCAAGAAGGTTATATACATTGTTTTAAAGCAGTTATCCTGGGCCTCAAAGATCACTGATGAGAGTGGCAGGCATTTTTTTTAGAGTTGGCTTTTGAGTCTCTCATAGAAGTTCCTGTTATCTGGAAAATCATGCATGAGGACCTTCCCTTCAAGCCCTCCAGCCTCTTGTCTTATTAGAGTTTTACATAAGTGACTTCAGTTTTATTCTGCCACTTTCCACAGTGATCTGGGCCAGGCTCACATGAAGCACCTATCAGCTCTTCAAAGCTTGCCCCAGAAAGTGCACATGTTACTTCTGCTTCAGAGTTAATTGGTTAAAACAAGTCGTACAACAGTGCCTGGCTTCAGAGGGCCAGCAAAGCGCCAGCCTCCCTGTCCCAGGAAGGAGGCCACCAGGTTGTTTTGTATAGTCTCAGTATCTAGCTACTGTGACCAGGGAGGGATTTTGCAAGTGCTCATTACTAATGGCATTCCTCAAAAGCATGTTTCCACCCTCATTTTAAGCAATTATTTTATTTAGGCATTAGGTAAAAGACATTAATCCTAGGAAGCTTAACAAATGGGCCTTTCTGTCTGTGAATGTCTTCAGAAGCCCTCAGGAATAATTTTCCCATTTACTTTGAAGGATCTAATTCTGCTGTCTAAAGAGTGAATGTCCCATGTTATCCAGAGCTGGGCCTCCAAGGGGAGTGTTTTATAAGAAAAGTCTCTCGTTAATTATTTTGTTGGGCTTTGGTTGAGCTCCATTGCATGAGATAACACTGTAAAAGTTGGTTGGGTCAGATCATGAGACCTTGAGGATCTTTCTGGGAGTACCAGTTTGGGCTTTTTTTCCTTTTTTTTTTTCTGTAATTAGAGATTGAACCCAGATCCTTATGTATGGTAGGCAAGCTACTACATTCCCAGCTTTTTTAAAAAAATCTTATTTTTGAAACAGAATCTTGCTAAATTGTCCAGGCTGGCTTCCTCCCTTAGCCTCTGAGTGGCCAGGATTATAGGCATGGGAATCAAAATTTTAAATTCAGTGACATCATTGATGCAGAGGGATAAGATAGTCAGGATTGAATTATTTTAAGTCAAATTTATTTGTTGTTTTTATTTTTTACATGGCTTACTTCTTGGTATGATTTATATTTCCATAGCAAATTATTTTTTTTGCAATATTTGTGTTAAACCTGAAGGTGTATTTTGCACCATATAATCACTTCACATTTAAAACTAAACCTTTTTGATCTTTTTCACTTCCCCAGAAAGTTCAATAATATAAGAAACTGAAGTAGAATGTTATCCTCTAGCATAGTTTCAGTAACTGGTAATCAAGATCTGTTTATTAGCAGGGTTTCTTATTTCATTAGGTGAGTGCTATAATTTGTTGCTTTGTCAAAATTTAACTTTATGCTTCTGTATTTAAGATATTGAGGGCTTCTAGTGTAAAACAGATTAACTTATTTCTCATCTTGTTGGTTTATGATGAGATAACTTATTTACTTGAATTTTTTCTTTGGGTAATAGCTTAACCAAATGGCCAAATGTTTATACTGTACATTTTATTTTATTTCATTTTTTATGGTTTTATTGAGTTTATTGGTATATTTTAGGTATAGAGTACAGTTACATTCATTATTGGGATCTTGTACCTTTACATGACAGGTCTTGGTTCTCATTTTATACTGTATATTTTAAAACCACAAATTTTGCCCTTAAGTGGACACGGACAGATTTGAATTAAAAAAAACCCAAACCTGCTGTCACATGGAGGGTGGGAAAGAAAGTGAGCTGTGAAGGTCGAGGAAGAGCGAGGAGGCTTAGCAGAAGAAAGAACGGTCTGGGCCTGGACCAGGCCTGGCTGCCCTGCTGGAGAGAAGCAGGCACCTCCAGGGACTCCCCAGTGGACATTTGATCAAGGCACACGTGCTGGAGGGCAGGTCCTCCTGCAAAATGAGAAGGAAAATCAGACTGGTTGTCATGGGAATAGGGCAAACATAATTACCTCCTTATGGTTTAATCAACTTTATTCATTCTCTTAATTCCCCCTTCTTATGTTTGTTTTTCCTACACATCACTGAAGTTCCTCCTTGAGGGGCTGTGCAGTCCCTTTGCCTCAAAACTGCCCGGTAGACCAGGATACCTATAAACCCTGACACTCTTCTTATGCTCATCCCTAAGCCCCACTTCCATACGTTTTCTTCATATTGCTTTCTGTTGACACAGTGCCGCCTCAGACAGAAGTTACAATGCAACAGAGCAGACTTCAGAGTTCTCTGATGACTCGGTTTCCATTCTTGTCCCGCTTTTCGTGACCACTGTTATTGGATTTGAGGGAGGCTCTGGCTTCTTGACTGGATGAGAAAGACGCCTGCATGTCCTGGATTGCATTTGGAGAACATTCCGTCTCTTCATGAATGGCTGGGGAAATACTGGTCTCATATGCAGTATATACTCAAGCCAGCTCTCATTTAGAGGGATTTCTGGTGACAACCAAGTTCATCATTTTGATAGTGATTTTTAAAGCTTTTCTTTCATAAACAATATTTTCTTACCTCATACCTTGGAAACTTCTTCACACAGAGATTTTTTTATCCAGCACACCTCTTGTTGAAGTTTGGAAGCTCTAGATAGGTAGAGCTGCTCCCTCTGGGAATCCTTACTTGGGGGTAGTTCTAGACAGAAGCCAGCAAAAACTGCCTCCTTCTCTTGTTGCTCCTGATTTTACTGGGAACTGAACCTAGGGAATGCTGAGTTATATCCCCACCCTTTTTGTGTTTGTTTGTTTTTTTTTTATTTTGAGACAGGGTCTCTATAAATTGCCCAGGCTGGACTTGAACTTTAAATCTTCCTTCCTCATTCTACCAAGAAGTG